TCCTTGGTGAGCCAGGGGGGCTTTTGGGCACTCTTGCCCCCCTTGCTTCTTGTTGGGATTGTCACCCCTTGGGCCCTGAGTATCGTTTCCTTAAGGAACAGCCACTCATCTTGGGCACTGAGTTCCCCTGCCCTCGAGAACCCCAGCGCCTCTCCCACCAATCTCCTCAACTCGTTGAAGTTGGCCCTCTTGAAGTCTAGGGCTACCAACTTGCTGCAGGCCCTTGTCACCCTGCGCTGGATGATGAATTCCAGCAAGCGATGATCACTATCACCCAGGTGGTCCAGGACCTGGAGCCCCCTTACCAGATCATCGCCTGTGGCCAGGACCAGGTCCAACAGGGCATTTCCTCTGGTGGGACTGTGCACCTCCTGGGTTAAGTGGAGGTCCTGTATCTTGGCCAGGAACCTCCTGGAATGGTCCGACCTGGCTGGCTGCTCCTCCCAGCAGATGTCCAGGTAATTTAGATCACCCATGACCGCTACATCCCTTGCCTTAAGTGCCTCTGCAAGCTGGCCCGAAAATTCCTGGTCCAGCTCCTCCCCTTGGTTGGGAGGTCTGTAGTAGACTCCCACCGTTAAATCCCTCTCCCCACGACCCCCTTGTATCTTGACCCAGAGCACTTCAGCTTGCCCCTCCTCCAACCCCATTTTGCTGGCAGAGGATGTGTATTGCTCTTTGACTTAGAGCGCCACACCCCCTCCCTTCCTTCCTTCTCTATCCCGCCTGTAAAGCCTATAGCCCCTAATGCTAACTGCCCAGTCGTGGAGGAAGACTTAACCAGAGTTTGCAGCTATGGAGGATCTTTCATCTGTAATCAGTAATCTTGATCTCCTTTACAAGAGCATAAATCAGGAGTCATTGGTCTTTCTGATAAGAATCGAATTCCTAAATAAAAATAATAGCACGTTATATAGGTAACTCTTTATGAGAATGGATATTTTAGAGAGAGAACTTTATTGGAAGTCTCTCTGAGGTGTTTGGATTACTATTACTTTCTTTTTTTTCCCCATTAATTTGCGTGTATTTTTTTTTTTTTTTTAATCTAGGAAGCCGCACTATGCAGACAACTTCCCATGGAATCAGAGAACATGACCCCAGTTCAGACTGGAGTGAACACAACTACTATGACACAAGACATTCGAACAATTACAAATAATGGATCAGATCCTTTCCTGAACAGGCAAGTTAAATGTTCTCCTCAGGCACTGGATTTGTGTTTTATCTCTGGTATGGTTTCTTTGGAATATGTTTTTGCTAAGCAAGCTGTAAAACTTTCAGAGCTGTATAGGGACTGGCAAAATTCTGGTGCAGCTCTGAAAATTTTGACCAATTGTCTCAAGGAGGAGTTTGACACACTTTCACCATTCACACATTTATCTTGTGATAGTTATGGACCGTACTGCCCAGTACAAGCCACATACATGATGAAAACTTTCTTCTTAAGCTTTAGACCAGTTGGAGCCAATCTTTTCTGCCAGGTGTGTGACAAATTAGCCGCATGCCCCACCAAGTGTCACTCCACTACTTTTCCCCTGTCCCATCTTCTGCTCTGCGTTCTGCTTCCTGATGCATCTGCCACTGTGCTGCCTGCCCCCTCTCTGCTCTGCCAGGTGCCACACACAGCCTGCTCATGCCACTTGTGGCACATGTGTTGCAGGTTGGCCACCCCTGCTTTAGACAACAGAACAGAACCTTTAAAAAAAGAAAATAAAAGTGTGGGATAAAGAATCGTTTTAAAAGCTGTTTGCTGTAAATGTGCATTGGGACAGTACTGCAAGTAAATTAGATTATTTTAGGCCTTGGAACTTTTTTATGGGGGAAAAAAAGTTTAAAGATTTTTCAATGAAATTTTCACCTCAGTTACCTTGTTCTAAAGCTGTGTCTATGCTGACAGTTAGCAGCATACTTAAGCTGATACTCGTAAGCCCCTGATCCCTGGCAGCAGTTTTGGAGTCAACTCTGGAAACTGCTGGATTCTGAGTGTGAGCCCAACTACACCCTCACTTGCCTGCTAGCCCTCCCCTTTCTTGCATTTGGAGCTTACCCTTGCACTGCAGGCCTGGAGCACAGGAGGTATACAAGCAGTAGCCCCACAATTCCTCATTTCTGATTTCTGGCCTTTCTGCACTCCACTTCCTCTCTCTCTCCATACCCTAAGTAGAGACAATCTCTAGATCAGTTCTTAGAAGGGTTCCACAAAGGAATCTGGGATTCAGCTTATTACCGTGCTAAGAAGTAAGAAGCACAGTGCAGATGACTTTGGTGCAGGCTGCAGGGTGTGATATAGGGAAGAATGTGCTCATGTGGCTGAGGCTGGTTAAGGATGATTTCTTTGTCTACCCTAAGTATCCACATAAGTACATCCTAAATTTAAAAAGAATGATCTCCAAAGTACTGTAGTTTGAGATTTCTTTACGGCATCCACCCATTTAAACACATAGCTGTCTGATTGCAATCACAAATCGTGTTTAAATGGGCACAACTGCAGAAACAAAATTGTCCCCAATTTCAGCTCCCATAATTACAAATCAGCACAGGAGAAGACTGCCCAAATCCTTTGCACTCCTCTGAAAACATGCCTAGCAGTGTGCAATACAGGTGAAAATGTTATCCAGGTTGGGCTTGATTCTCTTTTGCTGTTCACTTGCAGCAGTACAATTCTGATTTGGTGGCACTTTCCACCTGCTTTACACAGATGCAGTAACACGGCATGTACAGCAATGGAGACTCAAGTCCATTGTCTCAAAGTATTTAAATTAAGAATATGGATGGTTGCACAACTTTTTTTCAAACACCACTATCTGAGATTATCGGTAACAAGAATTTCTTTACTGAGGCTTCTTCATGTTTCAATTCATTTAGTGGGCCCTACCATTCCAGGGAACAGAGCACAGACAGTGGCCTAGGCTTAGGATGCTACAGCATACCAACCACACCTGAAGATTTCCTCAGCAATGTAGACGAGATGGATACAGGTAGGAACAAGGAATGCACGTCTGTTAAGATAATAATAGTAATATATTTTATAATCAAGAATGTTGTGGAATTATAGGGGCTGACTAATAATTTCTTATCCTTGCACATAAAAAAAATAGACTGAGGCCATGGTGCTCTCCTGCATGGTGCTTAATGCTTTTGCTTCCAGCACTTCACTGGGGCATAGGAAGAGTGTTGTCTCTGTTGGAAGAGTATCAGTGGGTAATATTTCTCCCCTATTGAAGTTGGTGTGCATTTTTCAATTGACTTTATTGAGACTGGTTCCACCTGCACATCATGTAATGAACAGATGCTTTCAGAGGCTGGAAAGTATGCTACCATGATTCTCAACCCAGGTATTGTGGCACCCTGGGGTGCTGTGAGACCCTTTTAGAGTGCTGCACATGCTGTGCAACATTAGTAGTTATGTGTGCAAACACCTGCATAATTCACAAGATAAACCCAGAGATTTCAAGTAGGAATCCATAGGGTGAAATACGTTCTGACCTGTTGTCATCTTTTTGAGTTTTCTGCAATAGTAGAATTTGTCTTTCTGAGTCCTGTGCAACAGAAAAATTTCTTTATTAATTTTTCTGTAGTCAAAAAATAAGTGAAAGCTAAGAGCTGGCATTTCTGAAAGGGTGCCTTGAGTCCAGTAAGGTTGAGAACTACTGGTATGCTACCTACCTAGGGCCCAGTCCAGTGTTCCTTGCTCTCCCGGTATGCTTAGTAATGACCTTGTATAAAAGTTAACCTAATGTAATTGCAGTGCTGAGCTTCCACAATGCCTCACATAATAGGGCCCCACTTCATGACTGAGGCCCCTGATTATCACTGTAAAAATAATAATAATGATTCTAAAGCAAATGTTACAGAAGATTAATCCCTACAAGATTTTGCTGGGGGTGGGGGCAGGGAGGACGGAGTATCCTTGTTGTCCATGTTGCTTTAATAATGTTTTGAAAGAGCCTGTTTTAACAGATCTTTTTTTTTTTTCACAGGAGAAACAGTAGCACAGACTCCAATGAACATAAATCCACAGCAGACACGTTTCCCTGATTTCCTCGACTGTCTTCCAGGAACAAATGTTGACCTCGGAACTTTAGAGTCTGAAGACTTGATTCCTATCCTCAATGATGTGGAGTCAGTACTCAACAAAAGTGAGCCCTTCCTTACCTGGCTGTAATCGATAGTTGTTCAGTGCTGATTCAGCCCATAGCACAATTCAACGTTACCTTTCCCTCTTGAAATAGAGGTAGAGCATCTGAAAATCCTCAGATGTACAACTTCATGCCCTACTGACTTTCACTGCATCACTTTATTGTCAATTGTATCTTTGTCTGGATTTGATTGACAGTAACTTAAATATAAAATACATGCATAAAATTATATTATATTTTACTTTTTAAGAACTACTTCTACACATCTGTAGCCTTTTTCCTTTACATATCATGTAGAAGTGTTTCCCCTGGGGAGAAGAGAGGGAAATCATGTGGGTCCATGACTAAACTCATGGATAGTTATTATTACAAACTCTAATGAACTGCAAAAGCTGACCATAAGACTGAGCTTGCATCAGGCAGCTTGGTCCAGCAAAACCTGCACCAAATTGGACCATAAGTGCAGTTTTGTATTTATGCCAATAGTACCAAATGCTTTTTTTAAATCTATTTAACTTGAGCTTTAAAAATCATGTGTTATTAGTAAAATTGTGCTGTATGAAATACAGAATAATTCTGATTCCATGTCAGCCATAAGAATTCTTATACATTTTGCAAAGGCACAAACAGTACTATTGCAGTTTATTTTTCAGTATATTACTGTATAGCTTCCAGATGATTAATACTTCCAAGTTGAATTGTTTAGTAACAGTTTTACACTACAATACTGTTGTAAAATAGACCAGATTGGTACTAATATTACCATTAAAAGAATGTGATTATAAACATGTAATTTCTAAAAAAAGCATCTTTGATTTTGATGTTTATTTTATTAAGCACTACAATTTTTTAACTAAATACATGAACAAATGGATGTTTTTTATAATTTTGTGGCAGTGGTTATCTTTGACAAGTGCAAAAATAGGTTTATAAAAATCAAGGCAGGAAAGTGAGAGACAATTTGATATTACTATTTTCAGTAAAAAAAAGAAAATGAAAAAATCTTTGTTCATCATGTTTTCAGTAGTAGCATTTTTAACTGACCATACTGATGACACTGTACAGATAACTGAATCCATGACAAGAAGATGGTCACTTTATCAGTCGATGATAAGCAGGAATTTGCTTGTGTCTGGTAAAGTTGCTAAAATTTTAACCTTTGTTCCTTGCTACAGTTAATGTACAGGACCAAGGTCTAATATCCTTTATACTCATGTATTGTATATCCTCTCATGCCTTCTTTATCGGATGTTTGGGACTGAAAAAGCATCAAGGACACACAGCATGCAGATCCCCTGAAGCATGAATGAAGTCCTGAAATTCTTAAGTATTTTAAACTGATAGTATTTATAATATATGAATTTAAGCTTTTTATACTGAAAAATGCATCTTTTTATGAAAGGCATTAATACAGTTCTCTAAGTTTGATCCACTCTATGTGGAGAAAGCGAGAGACGTAGCACTCAGTGCAAATGTCTGTTTTGTGAGGTCTGTTACACATTAAGATCCTATCAATGCACCAGAATATTGGACATTAACTTTTTTTTTTGGTTTTGTGGCTGGAAGGCAGGTGAAAAGGTCAGAGATGAGTGGCAGGGATATGGAGTAGATTTGAAAAGTGAGCAGTTACATAACATAAAACAGTAGTACTGTAGTACCTGAAAGGGAAGGATGGCTGCAGATAGGGATGTACATGGAGAAAGAACCACTAGCATTCAGTTAAAAATACCATACCCATGAATTAATAGAAGACACTACCTTGAAAGAGAAGAGCTGCTTAGATGCATGTCATACCAGAGGCTGCAAGTTGCACTATCTGCAGTAGTCTTTTAAGCAGGAAGGGGCAAAGCTTAAAATTATGAAGTTCTATAGAGAAGATTAGCTCTTTTATATTCTATTTTTTCATGTAAAATGAGATGAGGCAACAGAGTTTTTTGCTTGCATGGAACATTATCACTGAATGGGCATTGTTTTTCTTTCTTTTGTCTTTTTATTCACTTATGCCAGAAATAATTGTTGATAACTGAATAGGATCTTTCTGAACAAACAAGGGACCGAGCAGGGCTGAGCATTGTTCTGTATTATTATGAATATCTTTTTTTTTTTCCTTTAAAAAAAAATTCAGGTTATCAACTCAGATGAAAAGCAGATGGTCCTAAGGGTCTTTTGATTACACAGTGGTTTAATGGCATCTGAATGTGACAGTGAAACTCTTCAAGCCAGCTCCTTAGCTTCTGTATGTCTATGGATGCCAGTGGCTCCGGTTGATTTACACTCCACAGGGATTCAGCCTTGAGCACAACTCCTGTGAGGATATAGATCAGGAGATGATGTTTAGAAAATGGAGTCTGCTCATTTACTAGTAAATCTGCAGATGTTTATAAATGACATTTAGCATAAAATGGATAAAACTTGTAGACAGATCAGGTCAGACACTTTGCTGATGCCAGTTGGTTTACTTCCTGGACTTCATTAGGGCTATGCTGAACATCAGCTGAGGTTCTGACCCTAGGTGTTTACCACTTAAATTGAAAGCAAGTGTAGTGTTCTTATGCAGTCGCATCAGATTGAGCATACAGCAATTAATTCCAAAGTCAGAAACCTGATTAAGTTTTTATTAACACTGTACTGTAAATCAGAAATAACTCCAGTGAGGTCAGTGGAGTTAGACTGGTATAAAGCCAGGGGTGAATAAGGGAAGAATCAGGCCCAGAGACCATAAAAAGGTGGACATTATATAACTTTTCATATTACTGTGATAAAATAACAGAATTAAATAGAAAGGTGCTACATAGAACGTTATTGTTGTTGTGAAGCAGCTGCCAGGATGTTAGGTCAAACTCTTTTTTTTTTTAATTTCTAAACCAAATCTTGGTGAAGATAAAGTAATTCTTTCCACCTTAAACTGGTTTTTTTGTTTGTTTTTTGTTGTTGTGGGGAGGTGTATTGGATGAAGTGCAACAGAAAAAAAATCTATCTTATACGTGAAGTCCTCCTTTCATGGAGTTTTCTGACTTTAAAATAGGTTTTTAACAGAAGTGCAAGTTTTGAAAAGCATATGAATATTATTGAAATTACATTTAATTTTTGACAATATTTCACTGTATTATTTCAGGTTATAAAATTACATTTATTTTACTGAATTTACACTGTCTACTTGTAGTATAATACAGTATATATGCTAGTAGGGCAGTTTTACTGTTGACCATCACTGAGTGTGGCATACATAAATGTTGGTGATATGGAAGTAATGGGATGTTGTTAATTGCAATTTGTATTGGGTAACACTATTAGAATTCACCTTTTCAGGTGGGTTGACTTTATGAAAACGAATACTGTGTTTTGGAGGCAGATGGGAAGGGTTTAAAATGTCTATTTTAAATATGGGAAAATGGGTGTTCAAACAAACTTTGTTTCCTAATACACTACATCTATGTATGTGCTAGTACTTTAACTTTTGTATTTACTTTTTAATTTTGTTATGTTATATGACTACATGTGTGAGCATTTGTTTTTAATTTAGAATATTTTGCATACAAGGAGTATGCATCAAAAGCAGTTGGATCAAACTGTTGTACCCAGAGTTTGGTTCTGGTTCTTATTTCATCTTGTACAAGAAAAATAAATATAAATGAATTTAAACATCTTGGCTGAATTTTTATTTATTACGTTTGTTTTTGTCCTGGGGAATTTTAGAACATATTTCTTGAGGAGTGGTAGAACAGCATTTGGAACAGAAACAAAAAAAAAACACAGTTCTGTAGAAAAAAACGGACAGTTTTAGCTTAAATATCCAGCATTTAGTAAAACACGAATGGAGAAGTTTCTGTTCCAGCTAATTAATACCTGTAGTGAACAGATACTGTAATTCTGCTCATTCCACCCCCAGTGTCTCATAGCAGCACCCCTACCCATTTGTCACCAACACCATCTTGCAAGTTACACATTTAAGTGCCTCTTTACAGTCAAAGCAGCTCTCTATGAATAATATTCTCACTTCCTTACAGGCAGAATACCAACATGACCATTGACCACTTTGACCATGTAAACCAAGGACTGGCAATTATTTCAGCTGGAGGGCCACTTAATGACTTTTGGTGAGCTGTTGAGGGTTGCAAGAGTAGCCTCATCCCTTGACAGGTGCCCCACCTGTGATTGCTGTCTTGGAACCAGACGTTTTACCCCTAACTTTTGCCACTGCAAGCCCCTCCCCTTGGTCTGGAAGTAGTCCTTTTGGGAGGAGGGTTTGCTATCTTGGAACTGGAAAAAAAATTGTATACTAAAAATCAAACATCTATAACATATTTTAATTTTATTTAAAAAATATTTTGTCCCGATTTATGTGTGTTTGCATAGTGTGTATAGAGGCGATTGGGTAATAGCTCAAAATAAAGTCTTACTCTTGTATATTTTGTGTGGGGTGTGGGAGAGGGTTTTGACGGCATGGGAGGGGTGGGACATGTGGTAGGGGATGCTGTGCCCCCTGCCACATGTCCCACCCCTCCCATGACGCACAGTCCCTGCCACTGGTGGCAGCAGCAGTAGCAGGCGGCAGGCCCTCAGGGTGCTCGTGGCTCACAGCAGACAGTGCCCCAGTGGCACGTGGCTCTGGCTGAATCCTGGGAGCTGCACATAGCAGCACAGAACTGGCCCAGCCCACTGGCACACACCTTCAACCAAGATCAGGCTAGCTTCATGCCAGCATGTGGGGCTCCTGGCACTGCAGGCAGGAGCCACATGCCATAGGGCTGGGTCAGCTCCATGCCTTTATGTGGGGCTCCCAGCACTCCAGTGGGGAGCTGCAAGTGGAGACATGGAGCTAGCCCAGCCTGATGGGGTGGGACGCCTAGCAGCTCCCAGTCCATGTGGCACTGAGCCAGGTGGGTTCTGTGCCCCCACATGTGGCTTCTGGCTCTCCTTCCAGGAGTTGCACCCCATTGGGCTGGATCCATGCCTCCACATGCAGTTCCCCACTGGAGTGCTGGAAGCCTCGCACAAAGGCATGGAGCCAGCCTGGCCCAGCCCAGTGGCATACTGGGAGTCCCACCTGCTGTCATGGAGCCAGCCTGGCCTGACTTGATGGTGTGTGCCAGCAGGCCAGGCCAGCTCCATGCTGCCATGTGCAGATCCCAGGATTCGGCCAAAGCCACATGCCAACGGGCTGGGGGAGAACCTCTGCTTACCACAGGCTATGAGCACCCTGAGGACGCATTGCCTGCTGCTGCTGCTCCCGCC